CACAACAAAATGACTTGAATCAAAGGAATAGCCAAGCAATGGCATACAAGAACCCTAATAACAAGCTCTAGATATGCATTTTCACAAGACAATGCAACAACACTCACATTTCATAGCAAAATCACATGTAGAATCCAATAAATCATCATATAGGTAGACAAAATAGATTTTGTAGAGCATGGGTTACCTCTTGTAGACAAAAAACCTTCACGTAAAACTTCACCAAGCTCCTAATAGGGTTCACCTTCCACACCCACTTCAAGAACACACCAAAAGATCATAAAGATTCTACCTTTAAGGAAAGACAGCTTAGAAAACACTAAAAACACAAGATGAACATAGATCTTACCCTCCTAGATGCTCAAAGGTAGGAAAGGTGGAATCTTGAAGACAAACTTTGAGGATTTGGTAAAGCTTCAACTTGGCTTGTAAGAAAAGCTATCTAACTTTTAGAGAGAAGGAGGAGCTCAAGTTTAGAAAGTGTAAGGGGGGAGAATGAGGAGTGATCCTCTAGGTTAGCTTACAATTCTAACATAGGGTGAAATGTCTTGATTACCCTTACTAAAATGAAGAGGTGTAAGGGAACAAGGGAACTACTCACAACGCTTTAGGTACAACACTTGACTTTGGGGTTGACTAGTCAATTACTAGTCCTAGACTATTGAATTTTCAGGAATTTAAGGAATTAAATTATCAATTAAATTAGGATTAATTACTCAATTAATCCCTTAATTGAATTTGGATTACGGGGTGTCACAATCGTGGTATGTAACTTATTTACAAAAAAAATTAATATAATTGTATTTCTTTCTAATAAATAATCTTGTCTTGTAGAGTGTTTATGATATTCCCAGTGTACCGAATTTGAAGGAGTCTTTGATGAAATATGCGGGTGAACGGTGGAGTAGAGACTTTAAATGTAGATTGAACAGAGACTTTATATTCCGTAATGACAACCCAAACAAGATCCTGTGTGATAAATACTCGTACATTGACCCAAACACATGGAAAAAGTACATGGAGCTTCGTCAAACTGAAGAATTTGAGGTATATATTATTATTTTTATATAAATTATTAACTCACATATATTAAATATATATTATTACTTAATGTTTTCTTTTTATGTAGGCAACAAGAAAAAAACATCAAAGAGATACAAGTTAAAAATGTCCATCCACATAATTTAGCCCGAGATTTGAGAAGATTATGATGGATGAGAAGATGAAAGAACAACAAGAAGCTTCAAATTCAGATCCATCGTCAATAATTTCCCCTCCATCTCCTCCAACTAGACATGAAAAGTGGAAGAGGGCAAGAGTGGATAAATCCGGAAATATTAGCTACGAAGTGACTAGATTGATCGTGGAAAAGATTGTAAGTAAATATGTTATAATCTTCTACATTATTAAGATAGTAATCATTATTAAATATTGTTTCTATATGTTAGGATTCTCTCGCATTGCAAGCTTCTAAGGAGAATTTGTTGAGTCTGGTAGACAAGATATATTGTCTAATGTCATAGGTACTGATGAGCATTGCGGACGTGTTAGATCCGTGGGTAGAGGACATGGTTTAAAAAGCTACTTTTGTCATGCAAAACGTCGTCAAAGCCAGATGCCTACACCAGAAGTTAAAGAAATGATTAAGGTTGCACTTGCTGAGGTGTTAGCCAATCAAAGAGAGGAATTACATGCAACCATGCAAGCAACTATGCAAGAGATGAGGAATGAATTTAGTAGTATGAAGACTCATATTTCTCAAGCTGTACAATCAAGGCGGGATGGTGACATGTGTGTAGATGTCGAGCCACATTGTCATAGTGAAAAGCTAGTTCTCAAGACCCTTTTGCTAATTTACCGACTATAAGTAATCATTTATAACTAATCTTATTATTATTTATTAAAAACATTTTAGCTATTTTTAAATATGATTTCAGGCAGTTAGGAGCACAGTGCGAGTTGTAGTTGGAAGATCCCATTAGACGAAAAGTGGCACGTGGGACAGTTTACAAGGCTGAATGGGTTCACGGGATACAATTACATGTAGATCAAGTGAAGGTCAGCGTGGGTGAAATAATTGTTTCAAGTGCAAAGGTACCCTTCCCTACCGATGAGGTTTAGCTTTTAGAGGATGCAATGAATAACTTTATTATTTGGCTAAAGAAGTTGATTGAGTTATATACCCAAGCTGATGAGGTATGTATTTTCAAAATTTTTGGATTTTAAAATAGTATTTAATTTGCTTTTTAAAAATAGTAATTGTTACCTATATTGAACAGTTAAAAAGAAAGTCCAAAATGACTTATGAATCCGGTGAGCAACAACCTTCTGTTGATTTGACTATAGATAATCCGACTTCTTTGAGTCCTCTATGTCTAAAGGCATATAAAATTATTCGCAAATTTGATCAAAATCTTGTGATAAATATGTGTCGTGGTATTGTGGGCGATGTTGAATATAATTTACATCTTGAGCCGTTGGAGATTATGTGTTTCTTAAGAATGGAGACATTAGATATTTCTTGTTTGCAGTTCTTTAGATAAGAATATAATTGTGTTGTATTCTAGTGATCTTCCCAATGTCTGTTCCTCTTGTCAATTAGGAAAATCTTCTCGTTTTCGTTTGTCTCGTGTCGAAACTACTAGTACGCATCCTTTGGAATTAATTTATTCAGATATTTGGGGAGGACCGTGCAGCAACAAATGCAGCAGGGGAAGCAGAAGACGCAGGCCATGTGTAGAGACCCCCAGACGCATGTCCCTTAAAAAGAACCTTCTTGGTCAAAATGTCTTTCACATAGAAACAAAGAGGGTGGAACTCAAAGAAAACATTATTGTCCTTTGCAAAACGCTGGACGGATAATAGAGAAGAAGAGAGACCAGGGACATGCAAAACATCATGTAACTTAAAAAACATAGAATCAGTGGCTAACGAAGCAGAACCAACATTAACAATAGGCAAACCTGTACCATTGCCGACTCGCAGAGTCTCCGGGCCATCATAACTTATCGCAGATGTCATCAAAGAAGAATCAGGCGTTGCATGATTTGTAGCACCAGTGTCAGGGAACCACCGATGAGGACCGTTGGAATCACCATTATCACCAGCGACGGCCACATTAGCCTGAAAACCCGGAGCCCCTGAATAACGCCGAAAACAGTTGGCTCCCGTGTGATCAAAATGGTCACAAATTTGACACGGATCATCATAACGCCAAAAACAATTGGCTCCCGTGTTACCAAAACGGTCACAAATTTGACATGGATCATCATAACGCCAAACACAATTGGTTCCCGTGTGGCCGAAACCGTTACAAATTTGACACGGATCATCAACGTCACGTCGTTGACCGGACCGCTTCTGATATGATGTATCTTGGTTTGATGCCATCGGCTACTGCTACGAAGTGAGGAACATGGATGTTGGAAAAGAAAACCCTGGCTAACTGATACCAGATGAGAATATAATTGTGTTGTATTCAATCATAATTTCTGAGAGTACAGGGAGAAAATATATAGAGATGCTAGATAGAATCCTAGTCTAACACGAATAATATAGTCCCAATCTAATATGGATAATAGAGTCCTAATAGTCCTAATACTTTACTATTATTTGTTTATAGTATGTTTCATTTCATCTATTATATTACTAATATATATGATTGGCTGTATTTTTGAATAGGGGTCTTTATGACAAATTTGAATTGGCATCAAAGACCACATGACTTCTTAGATCCATGTTATATTCAACCAATATTGAATACTATAGATGAACGGACATGGTATATAAACGTCACCATGCAATATGGACAGAAATAATGCTATTTAGCCCCATATGTTTTAAAGTAAGTTTTAATTGTTTCAAATAAAATAACTTATATATAATATACTTCTATTATATATTATATTTACTTACAACTAGTACATTTTTTTTATTTGTAGTGAGCATTGGATTTTGATGTGAATATTATGTTATGAAATACATCCTTGAAATTCTTTCCAAATAAGCATGCGGAGGAATGAATAAGGCATGTAATTTAATAAAATAGCTTTCTCATTCTAATTTTAAAAATGCTAGCTTACAAATTATTTATTAATTATCAACTTTGTAGATCATTGAGAGAGTTGGTGGATCGAGCTACAATCAACAAGAGATTGATCAAGTTAGAGACGTATGTGCCGAGTTCTTAATTGATGTATGGTTAAATATGTGAAGTAATATAATTGATCTTAGCTTGATAATTTTAAATTGTATTATTAATTAGTAGAGATTTATTATTTTTATTAATTGTGAGATTATAGATATTAGATTCTACGTGTTTTGCTGTGGTTGTGATGCAATATTTGAGCAGGTTTTGGATGCGGTTGTGAGTAATTTGAGCAGTTTTGGGTATAAATTGATAAATAAATTGCATATTAAAAAAAAACATACAACGTCGGCTATTAACAAATAGCAGACGTTGTATGTATATTAAAAAATAAATAAATACATTACAACGTCGGTTAATACGATATAAACGACGTTGAAATGTATTTATTATTTTTTTTAATATACATACCACGTCGGCTATTTGTTAATAGCCAACGTTGTATGTTTTAATAATTAAAAAAAATATACGATGTCGGTTATTTATTTAGCCGACATTGTATGTTTTCGATACAACGTCGCCCCGAATAACGTCGCTTTTTAGCCGACGTTAAAAGCGTTATGTGTAGTAGTGCGCTACATTTTACAAATTACAGGCACGTTAAAAAATAATAGAAAATTGAAAAGAAACAAAGTCAATTTTATGAATATTAAAAATTTTTAATTTTGCAATAATTATAAAATTGATTCCGTATTGTTTTTTTTTTTTTAATTCTCAATTATTAAAATCTGATTGGACTTTTACTTGCAACACACATATTATTCGTAAACATGGTGTTAGGTGTACTGTATGTAGTGCATGCCATGACGGAGCAAGCTAGCTAATATTTGCATATTTTATGGGCAGTCGAAGATCAGATCAAATAGAACGCCTTTGACTTTATAGAACTGAAAGATTACATGTATACATGATGATAATCACAAAGATTATAGTTGAAAAATAAAAGGTAGCAACTTAACAACTTGGGGATGGAATATAGTATTTGTCTGGAAAAGTAGAGCACAGTAAAGTAAATTTTCCTATCAATTCAAATTAGGCAAAACTTTAAGGTTTTATGTCTTTAACATTAATTTACCCGTTCAGTCAAGAGAATAGCAAATCTGCTTGAAGGTTGGCAAGTTGTCTTGGAATAGAGGAATAAAAGCATCGATGCTTCCATCTCCGATGAAGGAAGGAAGCAGAAACATCATCCCTTCTGTCGGGAAAAATGTGGGCATGAAGATGTACGGACACCCAGTTCCAAAATCCAAGTCGTAGAATGGGAACCTTAGCCAGCTATCAACTTCCAGGTTAGGGCAGAGAATGTGCTTGTCCATGTCCGCGGTTGGAACAAGGCCGTCTTCCTCGGCGACCACCTTGGAATTCGCGAAATCTATGAACGATCTGATGTAGTTGTTGTTGACCTTGGAAACGGCGTCGTGGATGAGCTTAGCTGCGTATGAAAGAGGCTCACGCAGTAAGTCTTTAACCTTGGCAGTCGGAAATGCCCACAGAACCAAGTTGCCGAAATAGTCGTTGGGAACTTTGGGGTTAAGGCGTGCACGACCGTCAACCGAGATTCTTATGTGGGTGGTTTCGAAGCCTCCGAGGTTTCTTGCCTTGGTTATGGCCCGCCATAGATGCGCCACGAGGCTTTCGAAGGTGCTGTATGGCCTGGCGCCGCCGTTCATGGCGGAGGCCTTGGCCTTGAGCTTGGCTAGGAACTCTAAGGTGAAGTGGACTTTGTGAACCACGATGTCGTCCAAGAATGTTGCGTCGTTGCTGTTGAGGAAATGGTCGTTTTTCTTTATTTGTTTAGGCATGTATTCTGCCCCGACGTGGTCGTACTCGATTCTGGGTGGGTTTCTGGGGATGAAAATGGTGCGATCCCGTAGTGGTAAGGGCTGAATCATGACGTCGCGACAAGCTTTGCCCCATGCAACTAAGAAATTGCTGGTGGAGTGGCCGTCCGCCACGAGGTGGTGGGCAGTGAACCCGACCACTAGAGAGCCACATGTGAAACGTGTGACCTGGACTTGGACCAGCTCCACCACCCCCTTGAGACTAGGGTGAAGGTTGAGCAGAGACACGGATGGCTTGAAAGGCATTACCTTATCAAGAGTGGTGTCACCCGACGCCTCTACAAACTTCACTCCTTCATCGTTCAGCAAAACGACAGGGTTCCCCTCCTCGTCATTGCCCAATCTCCCCGCCCACTCCCTATACACTCCAAGCGCTTTTCTAAGCCCCAACTCGATGGTGCTATTCGGAGGGGTGGGCGGGCGATAGGCGTAAATAACAGCAATCTGAGCATCATATGAGACCTTATCAAACACACTAAGAGGAACATGGGTTGTTGTTAATGGAGGATTGCCTTCATACGAAGGTTTAATGGTTCTCGTACTCTCTACCTTCACCTTCATGGTTTTTTTCTCGACAAAATGTACGAAGAAAACAATCAAACTAGATTTAGGTTGATCTGACTATCTGAGTTTTGTTAGTTGGGGCCGGGTGTTTATATAGAAGAAATCATGCAGACATCTTCTACTGTAGGTTGGTTAAGCTTTAGACTTATGACATCCACGGTAGTTTGTGGTGTAGGGATTATTATTATTATTTATTACTAACAAATTAAATTATTATGCGAATTTAATTTAATTCCAAACAGCGTCTAGGTGCATTACAATCTTTTATTCCTTTAATTTTGATTTTTTTTTCAAAATTAAAATTTCTTGATTAGGATTTGACTTTATAATTTTTTTTCCAGTAATCATTAATTAATAAAAAAATAATTTATAATATATATCAAAAAAAAAAAAAAATCTCTCAATCTCTACAGTTGTCATTTACCGACTCACTGCATTTTCTAATTTTCTTTATAATCTATTAATTAATCCATGAAGTTAGCACGCGTCAATCCGGTTGTTAATTAACAATCATCAATTTTTGTTGTTATAAGGAATCGTATTTAATGACAAATCTTATTTAGCTAATTCATAGGTGTAAAAGAATTAAAATAATATATACTTTTATAGAATTGTCAAATTTATGCCTAAAACTTTTGAATGTTACAGGTTTAAAATGTATTCTCGTAGAAAAAATAATAGTTAAATTACTAAAAACAACATTTAATTTTGACATAATAACTAAGGAATTTGACTATACTTGTTCATTGTTGGTGGTTGGATTTCCCAACAGAGTTAGAGTTGGACTACATACTCTAGTTCTGGCTGTTCTGTTGTTGGTTAAGAATTAGGATCCCCTTATTTATATATTTTGATTGATTTAAAAAATGTTATTTACAAATTTTAAATGGAAATATTTTGATTGATTTTAAAAAATAAATTATAAATTTTTAACAAGAAATTTATTCATTAAGAATATACTTATCGTTTTTCGTAATTTTGATGTGATATATGTACAAAATTTCAATAACTTTGAGCAAGCTTAACGATTTAAATTTTTTGTTCAGATTTTATTTTTCAGATCAAACAAGAAAAGAAAGAAAGGAGAGAAAAAGAAAAAAAAATAAAGAATAAAGTGATCACAATAGCCGCGTGGAGTTCCACACGCTAGGTGTTGCTAGTACGCAAGACGTGCACCTACTAGCTATGTTTTTTCAAAATATCAATATAGGCTCATAAAATATCTACTCTTATAATTTTATGTTAAAACCCTTCTTTTTTTTTTTTTTTGTCATATTTTTTCTTTTCGTCGTTTTAAAAAAATATGATAAAAACCTTGAAAAATAATATTTGTTAGGAGGTGTGGCCTAAACACATGGAAATATAATGTGAAATATTGACTGGTGGGTGTCTGTACTCTATAGTAGCGTGTAGGAAGGCTGCTTTTCCTTTTCATGTACGTGTGAAAAAGATAAGTTTCAACCGCTAGTTTCTATATTTTATGTATGTTTTTTTTTTCTTTGTTTTATTTATTTAGTTCTTTTTTTGGTTTTTCTATATATCATTACAAACGTAGACCAATGTAACAAATTGTACCCGTACTTTAACAAACATTCGTAATTAGTTTTGTGCTAGGACGAAACCTCTGATCTTGTAACCTATTTCTATGCTTTAACGAATTTTTCTTTCAATGACTCATATTTAAAATAAAATTTTTTTTTTTTAAAAAAAAAGAGGATCTTAGTAACGGAAGAATTTTTTCAATTTTTGATAAATTGGTTGAAAATATATTTACTTGCATTTTTTTTTTTCATCTCATTCCTGAACACTTTAATATATTTTTTAAATAGAAAAATGAAAAAAAGAACATCTATTGCCCACTTCACTATATATTAATAACTATCACAATTGTAAATTTAGCTTTCTTTAGCTCAATTTACCCTGAATCCAGTATGATTCTATAATAATCGTACGCCAAAAACATGGTAAAGAGAAGGGCTGAGTAAAAACAAATAAAAACTTGAAAGTGAAGAACTCAGATTGCTTTTTAGGAACAGACTTGCACTTATAGGGTTAATGTTCACATTTTGGATATTGTATCTTAGTCATGCGCATTTTGAATTTCTAAGGGATTAATCGTACATTCGAATTATATAATTTTAGAGTTTCTCACTAAACATGCACAACATAAATACTAAAAATACACAATAAAATTGAGAAAATAAAATATAAAATTCATATTTGACGTGTTTAACTGAGTAAATATTGGTAAAAATTAAACTTGTAATTTTTTAGATACAAGAGTTAAATACTAACACGGAATGTGGTTGAGCATCAAACTCTTTCTCTCTCTTCACCGTCCAAGACTAATTGAACTTAATTGTGAGACCATACAAGAAAATTATTCAGGTTGATTTTCATTGTTATCGATTCTAATTTCTATATATGTTGTACCAAAACAAAAGAAGAAAAAAGTCCAAACACTTTTGAGCTGATTAGGTTGAACGTTCATGATTAGGGGGGGAAAATGCCAATATGCTATGTTTGAGATTTAAGTCCTAACTGTTCATTTCAAGAATATTATTGATCTTAGGTTCTCCCAAATATCATTTCAAGAATATTGTTAATCTATTGTAGGTACTTGTTTTTTTTTTTTTTTTGTTTTTTTGTTTTTTTTTTTTTTTTGTTTTAAATTCAAGTGGATTGTAATTAATCGATCAGAACCATCAATATCGATTTTTGAAAAAAAAAATAATTTAAAAAAATATATTTGTTAGGAATAATTTGTAAAAGCAACATGTTAAAAAACATATACTTCTCTTCATTTCAATGAAGAATTACATTTCGATCTAAACTTTGTCGCGTGAAAATGCCCAACTTTGATTTACAATAAAACATATAGCCGCTATATTCGAATGTGTGCTATGTTAAAACTCTTTTTGTGACTCTAGTCTATAAAAGAGCAAAAAAAAAAAAAAAAAAAAAAAAAAATTGATTAAGTTACCTATAGTCATTGTCGACTTAAATTGAAAAGGTCAATAGATAAATTTGATAAAATTATACTATCATATCTACCGAACAACCTATTTGATCTAAACATTACATCAAATGTTGAGTTTGGAGAATGTATTTGTTGTGTTTCCTATTGTTAACTAACCAAGCAATCCAATTTTAACATAGAGGCAGCTGGTTTGACAGAGATCGAAACACATGATCCAGGCTAATCTTGATAGGGATGCACAAGTCAGATAACACGCACATAATAAGCCAAGATTCTTTATATATCTATCCAACCAAAAAGATTTTTAAAAAATAGAATATGTTTTCAAATAAAAACAAGGTAGTTTACTTCATTTCTCTGTTTTTCTTTTACAGTTTTTTATTTCTCTATTTCTTCAGTTTTCTATTTCTCCAATTTTCTGATTTCACTATACAAATTTAACTTTTGAATAAAAAAAAAATTCAATACAATAATACTAAATGAACAAAAAATAACAAAACTCAATAAAATAATTACTAAATAAATTAAGACAAATATTAGTACATAGTTTGAATACATAATAATAAAAAACAAATAATCATAGTAATTAAACAGAAAATCGCTAAAGATATATATATATATATATATATGGGTTCAGGTGCGGATATAGCTTCCCGTGCGGTTGTGCGGTTAGATCTGAGCCGTTGATCAAATCTAGATCAACAGCTCAAATTAATGAAAATTTAAAAAAAAAAATGCGTGTCTGGAAGTAAGAAGCATAAGCTAAAAATGGCTCACCTTAAGTGATAGAAACACGCACCTTAAGTGTTAGATCTTAAGCACAAAGTCACGCACATTAAGTACAAACCCCACGTACATTAAGCACAACCTCACGTACATTAAGTACAAAACTCACGCATTTTGAGTATTCGCACACAGACCTTAAGTTTCAACAACTACTGACGACATTAAGCACAAACTTACGCATATTAAGTACAAAACTCACGCACATTAAGCACAACATCACGCACATTAAGTACAAAACCCACGCACTTTAAGTATTAACTCACAGACCTTAAGTTTCAACCACTATTGACATTAATCACTAACCTCACACACATAAAGCACAAACCCTATGCACATTAAGCACAAACTCCACTCACATTAAGAACAAATCTCACGCACCTTAAGCACAAAAGCCCACACTTTAAGTTTTAACAACTACTCACATTAAGCTCAACCCCACGCACACTAAGCACAAAACTCACGCACCTTACGCACAAGACTCACGCATCTTATATACAAAACTGACGCACATTAATCACAGAACCGTTCACCTTAATTTTGACCTAGATGCAAAAATTACAAAATTGCCACCGCATTTTTTTTTTAAATTTTGGTAATCCTGGACGTTGATTTAAGCGAGATGAATGACCCAGATTAAACCGCACAACAACACCTGGGCACCCTAACCGCCCCACTGAAGGCGGGAAAATGGCAATTAGATGGGAATGACCGTACAAGATAGCAAGAGAGGTTTACACCGGGACCTACCGACTAGTAACCGTGGAGGACGAACACGTAGAGTGCACATGGAATGCCCACCATCTCAAGAAGTTCAACTACTAGGAGACTGGTCGAGCTCTCTTTTTTGCTTTATTTAGTCAGTTAGCTCATTGTAGGCCCCTAGAGGCCAATAGTTCGTAAAAATTCCCTTTCTAGTTAGCAATAAAGTTTGAGTTATTTTGGTTAGAGCAACAGTAGTCGGACTCCGCCTTTTCAGGCGAGGAGTTTGGTGGGCCGTCATGCCGTGACGAGCTTGGAGTTGTCAACTCCTTCGTGCGAGGAAGGCTGACTCCGCTATTTCAGGTGAGGAGTTTGATGGGCGGTCATGCCGTGATGAGCTTGGAGTTGTCAACTCCTCCGTGCGAGGAAGGTTGACTCTGCTTTTTCAGGCGAGGAGTTTGGTGGGCGGTCAGGCCGCGATGAGCTTGGAGTTTCACCTCCACCGCGCAAGTAAGGCTGACTTCGCCTTTTCATGCGAGGAGTTTGGTAGGCGGTCATGCCGTGATGATCTTGGAGTAGTCACCTCCTCCGTGCGAGGAAGGCTTACTC